TCTTGTTTTCTTTAGAAATAAAGTGAATATAGTATCTGCTATATAAGCATTTAATAATAGATATAATTGCTGAAGCTTCAAAGTAGTAACATGTCTTGGTTACCTTTCTAAGTTCTGTAAAAAGGCATTTGGTTGATTGTTTGTTTGCTGAGATGGATTTAGGAATGTTTGCGAAATTTTCATAGATTCTGATACCAAAGTTATTGTAGTATGTTTTGTAAAAGTAGTTAAGATCTATAGTATCAGATTTTATAGTAATTAAGGTAGGCATTGTATCTATAAGTTTGATTAAAAATTTAGTAAAGTTTATTTAGTAAAATTTAAAAATATAGAGCTAAATAATTGTTTTTAATAATTTATAAAAAGTGAGATTTATAAGGAAATAGTTGCTAAATTTGAGAAGAGAATAAAATAAGCTTCGAAATGAAATATTTTTTATATTATATTTCTTAGAAAAGTTTTAAAATATAGGTCTGTAATATATAAGAGACTTGTTACAAAGGTGTTATATTTATAGAAGTATTATAGTTACTGCAGCTCATATAACCTTGTGTAATCTAGGAAGTCTAAGGTTGTACAAATTTTATATTACACAAATCATATATTACACAGATTGCAGATTACAAAAATTGCACACTTGGGTAAGTTTAGATAATGTTACTAAGTTAATTATAGAATAAACAATATAATATTGAAAATTTTGATTATGAAACCCATTTCAGGTGTTCTAATAAAAAAGATTTCTTGCAAAATTTTAGTATAGATTATGACTATTTCTAACTCTAAAGCTAACCTTACTCTAACATTAAATCTGGTTTAATTTTTGGCTTACATTGTTATACATCAATTAATTAATATCTGTGCTTAATAATTTTTTAAACAATAAATGCAGTAATTAATTTGTGTAAATTAATTGTAAAATGGGTTGCCCAAAAAGGATTGATTGTGTTTCTAGTATGGTCAGGTGTAAACAAATTGGAAATACAGGTCCAAATGTTAAACAAAAATAATTTTGATGGAAGTAAACTAGAAAAGAACTTTTAATATTATAAAGAATAAAAAAAGAGTGTTTTAATATTTTTAGTTCTAGAATGATCAATTTTGGGTCAATTTTAATATACTATAGCTTGTTTGAAGCCAGAGATAAGCTCTGCAAATCTGGTTATGAGGTATCAGTAAGTTATTATACCCAGTTTACCAAGAAGGGCAAAACTTTGGAAAGAGAACAAAGTTTTGTCCAACTGTTCTTATAAATCAAATATCACAAGAATCTTAAGAAATATAGACTTAAAACTTGTAAAAATAGTAGCTAAATAATTTTATTTAAGAGCCAAGTAGTTGTTAACTTAATAAAATTTTGTATAAATTAATAAAAACATAAAATATTTTTGGATAAAATTTTGTGTACAAGTGATAAGCAGAAAGAGTTTTTTGGAGACTAAAAAGTTAAAACCAATAGTAATTAAATCTTTCATTAAACTCAATGCATTAGTTCATTTGAATTATAATGCCCTACCTGTAACATATTGTACAAACTTAAAGGCTTGGATGTGAATTGAACTGACATCTTTTGCGAATAGCTTACAAAACTCAATGAAAAATTTTGTTTAGAAAACCCAAAAAAATTTTATTGATAATTGATGATACAAAATATTATTATAATCTTAATAATAATAATAATCATAATATATTGAAGCTAGATTAAGAATCAAGTAATAATAAATTAGAGAATGAAGAATTTGAAGATAAAGCTTAGAAGATAAAGAGTCAGAGGAAGAAATCTATACAAGTTCATCTCAAACCTTATATATTCAATGTGGCTATCCAAAATTAAGTAATAATAATATTAATAAACAGAAAGAACAAGATTATCCTTGTAAACATGACCATGAGCATGAGCATAGCTGTGGTCATAGTTGTGGATGTAGTCACAAACAGGTTTCTCAAAATAGTAAGAGCTGTCATAGCACTAGTTGGCCCTATAAAATTTCAGATTTTTCTAATATCTGTTTAATAAATATCCATATTGAGTTTTTAATAAACAAAACTACTGCGCACCTTCAGCCAATGGATGCAGGAATAATTTACAGTTTTAAAGTAAAATATAAAAAAAAGTATATTTAGCATGTAATATATCAGTTTGAAAGAGGTGAAGATTTAAGTTTAACAAAGTAAAAACATATTACTATTTACTATTACATGCTGTACCTAGTATAATAGATAATTTTTAAAGTACAATTTATATATATATAATGCATAATATATGTTATTATAAAAAAATTCATTTTAAACATTATATCATATTTATCTATCTTATGAAATATAAAAGCAATAAATACTTAATTTGTATAAATAGTTATATATAGTTTAAAATAAGAAGAATGTTAGTATTATATAATTGATCCTTTACCCAGTGTGTAATATCTAAAAAAATAATACCAAATTATTTAGCCAGTATTAGCAGAACAATATTGTATTGTAAATATTTTTTTATAAGTTGTATACTGAATAAAGAATTAGTTGTATAATATTGATATTTCCTTCTATTCAGTTTTAAGTATATACTACTTTGCATTTATAATTAGCCATAAAGTTATATAAAAAAATTGTAGTTTGCATCTAAGTCTAATTTATGGTGAGTCTATTATCAAATAGGCCTTTTATATACCTATTTATGTTAGCAATGTAGATATATTTCTAAATTAAATTATGATACTGATTTCTTATTTAATTTTAATTGATATCATTTTTGATAAAATTTAAAATTTTTACTTACACATTTTTTATTTGTATAGAAACAAATTAATCGTCAAGACTGCAATTTATTATATTGCAAAATTATAGGATAAAATTGAACAATCAATTATTATAAATTGCTAAAGAAAAAACAGAATTCTTCCTTTACTAAATATTGATATTAAAGATCCTATTCTTACTGTTCAAGATGTGATAAATTTATAAAGGAATGATGTTGAAGAATTAATTATAGACCTAACAACAAATTTATTAGATCCAACAGTCAAATGCCAAATAAATGAATTCAACTATATAAATGATATTTTAATACTTATCGAAGATGTTCTTAGTAAAAAATAAATTGTTAATCTTGTGTTAGATAAACAATAGGAATTAAAAGAAGGTGATGCAAGTGATACTGATAAAGAACCACCTGAAATTTCTATTATTGAAGAGTTAATTGGATTAAAAAAATTCATTAGTTTCTTGAGCAACAAAAAAGTACTGACTTTAATGTGAAGGATTTAAAGATTTTTAGAAAATATTTGCTATTAGTAAGAAGAAAATATATAGAATTATTGAAACAAAATCTATTACTAATTTTTTTCAACAGTTTAGAGTCAATAACAAGATTTTTGGTTTATTTTTTTATTTTTTTATTTTTTTTTGTTATTGTTTATTATTATTATTATTATTATAATTAGTAACAAGGTTTGTTTTTCTTTTTAAAACAAAAATTATTTAGCAATATATTATTCAGATACTAATTAAAACAAGCAATTTATTTTATTTTCTGAAGCTATTCCTTTTCTATATAATCAGTTGATTATATATAAATTATATAAATTTATATTGCACATTTTTTAAATAACATTTATCTGCCAAATAATAATTCATAACCTTGAATTTTAAGATATTTCATTTGATAAATTAATAAATTATTTTTTATTTACTCACTGAATTTATATAAATATAATGAACTTAAAGTAAGTAAAGATATTATAAATAGCTTATTTTAAATTTATTAATTAATAATCTTATACTAGCAATTAAAGGCGAATAAATAAAAAGTTTTAATAATGAAATATTGAATAATCAAAAAGAGCTGTATTTATACTTCTATAATCTAACTATTACCTTGCTAGTAGATATAATAATATAATATATCATAGTTCTACTCACTAATGCTTCTTTTATATACAATACTTCAAAACAATCAATTCACTGACAATTTTATTTTATATTACAAGCTTATTTTATAGATAGTTTTTTCTATTAACAGCTCAATTTCACAGACAAAGTGATTCTTATTATTAGTTTAGAACTAAAGCTAAGGTTGGTATAATTATAAGAAAAAAATTTATGTAAATAAACTATCAGCAAAAAATTTGTCTATAAAATAGGCTTGTTAGTAAAATAAACCGTCTTATTTTACTGTAAAACAAATATATTGGTAAATTGATTGTCTGTAAAGTATTATGTTTATAAAATAGTGATACAAAATTGATTGAATTTTAAAAAAAGATCAGTTTGAATATTAATTCAGAAATTATATTAACAATAAACATCAAACAAAATCTGTAAATTGCATTATATTAGGCTAAATATATCAAACACAAAAAACCTTACATGTTTTACTTATATAAATATAGTCTGCATAGCAAAGCTATGGGTAAATAAGCTAAATACTTACTATCTGAGTTTATATTTTCTATTTACTTTATTGAATATTTTAGAACTCTATATTATCAAAAATCTAAATAATGAAATGTATAATATATTATTTAATACTATTATAGAAATAATACATATTTACAATAATGTGTTATATAAAATACTAATTTTTATTAAATTAATTTCAAGTTATATAAATATTTTTATTCAAGTAATTTCTCAGATAATTTGTTCTAATAGATTTATCTAAGTAGCTATATATATATATATAGTTAGATCTCTTTAAATGCAACCTCTTTAAATGTATGATTATGAAAGCCTTTCTAAATACACATCTTTTCTTTAGTCCAACTAATATAACACTTATAAATTTTTACTTTCCTAAATGTAGTATTTTTCTAAATCTATGTTTGATTAATTTTTGCATATAGTTCTGCTGCAATACATTTAAAAAGGTCTGACTATATTTTTTTTTAAAATTATCTCTCTTTAGAATTATATTATATATAATTTTTATATTATGTAATTGTAGAGAGATAATTCTATTTAATTACCCTCTATATAATCACCAAAAAGTATTAAGTAAATTAGGTGATTATATAGAGATATGACTATATATTATAGTAAGAATTAAACTGTTTAATTGTATAAAAATTGTATTATAATTTTTTTTTTAATCTTTGCAATATCGAAGTAAGGTTAATTTTTATTAGACATTTTAATAGTATATTCTTGGTTAATAAAGTACATGTAGCCACATATGCAACTTTTGGTTGCTTATTTAAGTAGTTATCCCAAAGGTTCTATACTATATGCTGTACCTGTAAGCTAATGAGGAGATTAACCATTTAAACTCACTGATATTCTTTGTCTTGCACTACTACTACAATTATGTCAGCTCATAACCTTGTGCTACTTTAATTGAAAACCACCCAGATCGACATGTGCTATACAACTTGACTCTAATTTTTTAGATAATCTAGTAGAGTTCTTATTTTAGCAGGTTGTTCTAGGAGAAGTATAATATATACTTCTTAATCTTTCTATATTCTACACATTTTTAAATTAGGCAACAAATACTTTTTATAGCAGCTGAAATTACTACTAGTAGTCAGAGCTAACTATTAAAACACATAATTTCAGTATTTATTGATATTATAAAGTTCATTCTTATCACAATACCTACATCAAACTAGTCTTTATACCAATCTCTTCCAAACTACCAAACCAGTTAGCCCAGATAGATTGTTATATCTCAACTTTAGGTACCTTCCAGTTTTACTTCTTCTGTTTTCTAATTTTATAGCATAGAACCTTTTCTCTAATACAACTCTGGTAGTCAGATTAGTGAATCTATCTTACTCTAGAATTTTCATTTGGTTCTTCAGTCTCTAGTTTCTGGCTTTCCACAGTATCATCAAAAATCTTCACTACCTCCTTAATCAGGCTTGCTAAACAGATTTTAATTATTCCAGTTTTTTGGATTTGGATCATCTAAAAGCTTTCATTTTGAGATGATAGTACCAATATTATAGGTGATATATTCAACTGATCATTAAATAATTGTTACTGGTATACAGACCTATTTTCTAAAAACATCTTTTGTAAGATTTGAACTCTAGATTTACTACTTGGAAGTGACAACTTAACTACTACTCTAAGTTACTACACTCTGTTTTATAATTCTAATATGAATTATATTAGTAATAGCCAAACTAAGGTGTGGTAACTTAGTGAAGTTAGTAAGTTGTCACACCTCAAAATGGCAGGTCTAAAGTTCAAATCTCACTGGCAACAATTTTGAAAAATAAGATTTGTTTCAGTAACATTTATTCAATAATCAGTTGAGTGTATCACCTGTAACCTTGGTATTACTATCTTGAATGAGAGCTTTCAAGCAAAGTTGTATGACATCACACAGACAAAGCCAAGAAACCAGAATAATTGAAACCCATTTAGAAAGACCTGAGCAAGGAGGTAGTGAAGATCTTTGATGATACTGCAGAAACTGGAAACCCGGAAATCAGAATCGAAGAACTGGACGAATAACCCTGTAGCAAAAAGGGTTTACCAACCTGGCTGCCAGAGTTACTCCAGAAGAAAAGGTCCTATGCTGTAAAATTAGAAACAAAAGGAAGGAACCCACCAGACACTTAAAGTCTAGGTATACCAACCTATCCAGGCTAACTGGTTTGGAAGTTTGGAAGGGATCAGTATAAGGACCAGAAAGAAGGTAGATATAGATATTGGAATTGGAACAAACCTTGTAAAGGCAGTGGAACCAAGAATTGTGCAGTTTAATGATTAGCCCTGGTGTTAGTTTTGGCCATAGAAGACAGATTCTCTGATCCTAATTCAGAAATGTGTAGAACATAGAAGAATTAGAGTAGCAATCACTATGCCTATCTGTGGAGATCATAGAGAAACCAACGGGGTAACCAAATATAGGAAAGTGAGTGTAGAGACTTTGGTATAAAGGTACCTAGCTTAGAATAATTGGTAAGTATATATAATTAGAGAGTTTAAATAGATAATCACCTAGTTGGGTTATAGATATGATATTTAGTATAGAAAGTTATACATGTAGCTAATTATACTCTCGTTATAATACTAAAATATAAGACCCTTATTGTCAACAGTTAAACATTAATAAAGCTTGGTCCCGAAGAACACCTTAAAAAAAAAAAGTAATAGCCAAACTTAATACTAGCAATTAGTATAATTAAATAGTTAATTAATTAGAAAATTTCAGACAGTTCTAATTTTTATATTAAAAATAAGAATACTTATATTATTTTAGGATATTTTATAGAATAGGTGGGCAAGATAAGAAATAAACATTATTAATAATTAGTAATTATTAATTTTAATAGTAGAGTTGCAAAGTTTGCAGAGTTTGCCTACCTATTCTATAAAACATCCTTATTTTATTGTTTGCAAAAAATTTTTAATAGAAAATATTAAAAAATTTGCATTATACACTATTTTATAATATTGTTTTTATAAACATTTTGAAAACATTATTTTAAATAACAAAAGTTGTAAAGCTCATCAAGATACATCTAATGGTAATAAGAACATTAAAATCGGCTTGGTAGTTTTTAAGAAATCTTTAAAAAACATTTCGCTAACACATAAAATATTTTAAAAAAATCAATTTTTTTTAAAGAAATTTTAGATATAAAAAAGAAATTTTTTAAAGATTTTTCAAGAACTTCAAGCTGATTTTAATGTTCTTACTGCTATTAGATGCATTTTTATAAGCTTTACAACCTTTGTTATAAGCTTAAGGGTGATTTACTTTGTAAAAAAAAAGTTTTAGATAGAGGCGCTCCACTCTACATTCAGGCTTATAATAAAATTTATATATAAAAAAAAATTTTTGTTCAGTTGATTGGAGATTTGTTTATTAAAAAAATAGCTAAATATTAAATCTAATTTTTAATTACAACTTTTTTAACCATTTTATTACTTTTTAATTTAGTTTTGTTATTATATTGCAAAGCATTAATAGTTCTCTCTCTCTCTTTCTCTTTCTCTCTCTACTCTACTCTACTCTACTCTACTCTACTCTACTTTACTCTACTCTACTCTACTCTACTCTACTCTACTCTACTCTACTCTACTATACTCTACTCTACTCTACTCTACTCTACTCTACTCTTTTTTAAAATATTAACTTTATTATATCATTACATTTATTACAAAGCAAATATTTATACACTATTAAACTTTAATTACAATTTAAAATTACATATACTTGAAAATAATTTATACAATTCTAATCTACTTTGCAATTCTTTAAATCACTATATTTATACTTGAATTGCTTAGTTTTATTGCAT